CGCGCGGCCATGGGTCCCTCCCCCCCACCTTCCTCCCAGCCGCGCAGCCCCAGACGGCCCGCCCCGAGGGCGACAAGGGGCGTGAGTTTACTCACCGCCCGCTGATCTCATCCCCGTGCATGTTGGCGACATAGCGGAAGTTGGGCTCTGGCTCCTCAACTCCTGGCCGGTCCGAGATCTCCAGAACCCAGAGCTTGGTGCCGCGCGCGCTTTTGCCGACACTGCGCGCACGCAGCGACAGGCGACACCGCCGTCAGGGGCGCGGGCGGAGGCAGAGGATGGCGGTGGGGCTGGGCGCCGCGCGGCCAAGCCCGGCGCAGGGCGCCGCACGCCGCCGCGGTGCATCGGCGGGGCGTGCGGGCGCGGCCCCGCGGGGCGGGCGGGGCGGCTGCTTCGCGGCGCATCCTGCGAAGCGACGGCCGACGCGCACGCGCCTTTTCGCTGCCTCTGCGGCCCAACGTGCGGCTGACCGGGGTCTAACCTGTGCAGCATGGCGATGCTGCCGCACCGCGTGACAAACTCCTTCGCCCAGCTTGCCTGCGGCAGCCGGGAGCGGCCAGGGGGGTTGTCGATGGGTGCGCAAGAGTGGCTACAAACCGCCTGCGGGACGGCGCTCGCGGCCGCTGCTCAAGACTTCTTTAAACATGTGAGCACGTGCCCCTTCCGCAGCCCTGGGTGCTCCCCGCGGTGGCGTACGATGTGGGACGACAGGCGGCGCCCCAGTGGCGGAGCGGGAGGGGTGCATTTCACACCCACCAGCTGCCCGTTTGTGAGCCATGCCGTGGCGAGCTTGGACTTGAATGTGGTCTTTGGCTTGCTGGCGTGCAGCCTTGCCTGAGCAGGGCGCGTCGCAAGGGGCTGCCTGGGCGGGTGCCGCCCCACCGCAAACGCCAATGTAGACTGCTCACTGCATTCATCGCGCACATGACTCGTGCAGACGGCAAGGGCGGGGTGCGGCGACGGCGCACCTGGGCAGGGCTGGGAAGAATGGTCAAGACCAAGAGCACAACCAGTGTCACGCACAGAGCTGCCCTCCCGTCCAGGGGGATGCGCCGACTGACCATCCCTTCTAAGTTCTCGGGCTTGGCCTGCCAGGCCAGGCCAGACCTCCCCGAAACGCAGTGTCTGTCCACTCAAGCCTTTTATTCGAGTATAAATCACGCTTCTAGCGTCATGAGCACCCTGCCACAGGGGATCTCCAAAACAGTGACAGTGCTTCTGCTATGCGCGTACGCAAGGCGCGGTCTTGAACTTGAACTTGAACATGCAGTTACACATTGTGCAGTCGGGCAACTGACGTCGGGCATACCCAGATGACACAGTCACACCCTCATGCCTGCAGTGGGTGCGGCGTGATATTGGGCACGCAATTGGGCGCGGGCGCGAGCGCGGTGCTACAGCCGTCTCGTAATGCATACCATGGACAAGTCAGGCCCTTCATAACTCTTGGGTTTACGACCGTGCACGTGACGTATCCACTGGTCGTTGCAGCAGCCCCCGCACCAAGGCC